ACCTGGATTGCACGATTAGTGGTATGGAACACTAGTCACCAAGGTACGGCAGTGGTCCTCGTGGTGGCCATGACGCGATTATGGAGTTTGTGGCCTTTGTGTAAGGTTCACGTATTTCTTGGGTGGCATGTGTTGCCGTGTGTGTGATCGGTACCCTCGTGTACTATGAATCGATGGTCTTGTTGGTGGTTTGTTGGTGGGGGACGACGGTCCCAGGAGGGAAAAGGTTGGACTCAGAAGTACAGGGGTCCTGGAGGTAATGGTTGGAACTAGACATAAGGTTGGGGGTAGCCATAAGGTTGGAACCGGGCATAAGGAAGGCATCTCAATTCGTGATGGGTGATGTCATGAAGGCTTGTGTAGCCGTTGTTGTGTATTTCTCTATTTGTGACGTGTGATGTCACAAAGGCAATGTGTTGCCGATGGTTGTGTCCTTATTCTCTTGTGTTATGCATGTCGGGTGTTAATCTACTGTGTGACGGTAGATTATGCCTTGAGCCGTTCTTCTACTTGTTGTGGTCTTGGGATGTGTTCCCGTATTCTTGTTGTGAGTGCATTGAGTCTTGTGTTGACTTCTGCTCTTGGTTTTGAACTTATATATATATATATATATTCCGTTTCGCAAATGATTTTTACATATGTATATCCTATCTATGTATGATATTTCACCTGTATTGGTGGGTTACCAGCATTATTCGCTGACCGGGCGTCGTCCCATCTTTTATGTGTTTCTTTCAGGTGATGTGTAGACGTGAGCGCGGTCTAGAACCTGCTAGTGTAGTTCCCTTATTTTTGTTGTTATGGACTGTGTGCCAAGGATAGACTTTAGTACTTTGGATATGTATGGATTTTAGATTGTGAATCATGCAGATGTTTAGCCTGTGCGTTCACCTCTGGGTGAGCGTGGCATAGCACCCTTCTCATTTCCAGGTTATTAAATCTGTGGTAGTCTTCCGTTGTGTTTGATGTTTTGGTAGTTTTCTGCATGTTTAAGGCTTAATTCAGTATGGAAATTAGGGGGTGTTACAGAGAGTTCATAGGGCAATCCTCCAATTAATCAAGAGGATTATAGAAGATTCTTGGAGTTCATGCAGTTTGAAAAGGCTAGCAGTTCTCCCCTCATGCCAATGCTATAGCAGCCAATTTCATCTCAAATAACTCACTCGAAGGTAAACCTGCTATCCCTAGTCATAACTTGGCAGATATTGAAGCTTTATGGATTCTTGATCATGGAGCTACTCATCATATTGTCTGTAGAATGCATCTTTTACAAAATTCAAAGAGAGTTCAGGGCATATATGTTGATCTACCTAATGGACATCATGCCCAAGTATCCCATATTGGGACTGTCCAATTGTCTGCTGAGTTAACCCTACACAATGTGTTGTGTGTTCCCATATTTCATTACAATTTGATATCCTTGGGTGAATTGATAAGAGGATCACATTGCATCATAGTATTCCAATCTAAACAGTGCACTATACAAGGTCAACACCACGGGAGGATGATTGGTATGGCTGAGCTCAAGAAAGGCCTCTATCAGCTTACTTTTCCTGTTTTTGTTCACTGTAAAGTTATGTCCAATGTATGTTGTTCTTGGCATGCTAGATTGGGACATGCTTCTGAAGGAAAGATTATGTTCCTTCATACTTTAGATAATAAAATTTGTAATGACAAACCTACTACTTGTGATTGTTATCATTTTGCAAATCAAAGAAGACTGTCTTTTCAGCCTAGTGTTTCTACTTCAAATGATTGCTTTGATCTTATACATGCTGATATTTGGGGACCATATCACATCCCTACTGTTTATGGCCATCAATATTTCCTAACATTGGTGGACGATCATAGTAGGGCTACTTGGGTTTATCTCTTAAGAAGGAAGAGTGAAGTTAAGCAGGTTATGCAGGCCTTCTGTGAGTTGATTGGCACACAATTTGGAACGAAAATCAAATGTATAAGGTTTGACAATGGGAAAGAATTCATCTTGGAAGAATTCTATCAATGCAAAGGCATCCTCCACCAAAGATCATGTGTGTACACCCCTCAACAAAATAGTGTGGTTGAGAGGAAACATGGGTATATCTTATCAGTAACAAGGGCTATCAGGTTTCATGCCAATTTACCTGAAGAATTTTGGGGAGATTGCATTCTTCATGCAGTTTACATAATCAATAGGCTTCCATCAGCAGCCCTAGACAATAAAATCCCATATCAAATCTTGTTCAAAAAGGTGCCACAATACCAACATCTTAGAGTCTTTGGTTGCTTAACCTTTGCTCTTATCCCTAGCTTCCAGAGAAGCAAGTTTGCACCAAGAGCTAGGAAATGCAATTTTTTGGGGGGTTTGCAAATGGGGTAAAAGGGTACAAGCTACTTGATCTACAAACAAAGAAGATTTTTCTGTCTAGAGATGTTCACTTTTATGAGAACACATTTCCCTACCAAAATTCAAAAGATGTTCAACCTGCTGAGTTGGTCCTACCTTCTGAAAGGACACTCCACTTAGATACTGAAGAACCCTCCCTTGAAATCCCCATATCTCTTCAGTCAGATACTGCCAACCAGAATGTACAAGATATTGCTAACCAGAACTCCCCTGAGGTCCAATCTCTAGGACCAAATTAAGCGGATGAATTAAATGATGCAGATCCACCACCTATACTACAGCCAAGGAGATCAAACAGGACAAGGGCTACACCAGCATACCTAAGTGACTATACCTGTCAAAGTGTTGTTGCTAACAGAACCTCCCCACATGATATCTCCAAGGTTCTATCCTATGACAGCCCATCACAAGGCTATAAGGACTTTGTCACCAGTGTCTTGCAGGCAAAAGAACCAAGATCCTATAATGAGGCCATCAAAGCAAAATGTTGGAAGAAGGCAATAGAAGCTGAAATCACTGCTTTGCAAGCCAACAACACTTGGGTGCTCATTGATCTCCCACCCAACAAGGAACTAATAGGCTGCAAATGGGTGTACAAAATTGATAAGTGTCAAAAACACACATTTCTAAGGTCTGTTAGGGGTGCATTTTAAGCTATAAACAATCTTTTGTGTACCACTTTTAGGCCATTTAAGCTAAGATTGTGCATTGTGCTATAAAATGCCACCACACTTTGTATTGTATGGTTATGTAGGTCAATTTGGACGAAAACGAGGCAAAGTGGCATATGATGGATCACACCGGGACAACTCGGAGGCTAGTCCAAGGGAGTAAGGCAACAGGAAGACACCAAACCAACACGCGCTGTCGTGAAACTGGGCAGCGTACTTGGCCATGTACGCACGTACGTGCCTCATACGTGAACCCAATTCGAAGGTGCCAAATTCCAGTAAGTCCACGCAAGGAGCAACGTTCATTGGGAGGACGTTGGGGAGCGTACGTGGTCATGTACGAGTGTACGCGTGCTAGTACGCAGCACAGGCTGATTTGGCGAGAATAAAAGGGTTGTGCGGGATTTGATTTGGGGATCTCTTTTTCACTTTCTAGACTGCATTCTTTGTATTTTCAGAGCTTGTAGGTTAGGTTACATGATTAGGTTAGATTAGGTTAGATTAGGTTTGCAATTTCTTCATTGTAGAAGCTCAATTGGTGTAACGATTGCTCAAGTTGAAGATCTATTTTGGTATACATTCTAATTCCCTTTTCAATTCAGCTTTCCTACTTCAATTACTTGTTCTTATTGCTTGTTATTGTTTCTATTGCCTACTTGTGATCTAATTGCATGATGTCTAGTTAGATTAGGTTAGGAATTGGATGATTGCTTAGGTTTGATTGCATCTAGGTATGGATTGATTAATTGATGAATGTGTTGTGATTGTTTGATTCAATTGCCTTAGTTGTGGATGAGTTCTTAGGTGATTCTCTCATCATTTGTGGCCACAATGATGAGATGAGTTAGGGAGTGGGGAAAATGGAAAGAGATTGCATTTCCTTTAGTCCTACTTGTCCCAATCTCTGCCCTACGATCCGAGAGGGCTAGGCCAGAGAGAAGAAGGTAGACCGCCCCCTTTATGTTTCATTAAATGCCTCCACCGACGTAAGAAAGGAGAGTCTAAGTTCTAAGCAACCTAGTGTAGGTGTCATTAATACTTCGTAGGTAGAGTCTTGCATTCCTTCCTAGTTCGTCTACCTTAGGCTACTAGATACATGAACCCTAAGTATATCTATCCAATTCCCATTTCCTTATTTTGATTGTTTCATTTCCCATTTATGTTCCTTCCTTCCACACTCTTTGTATATGTTTCCCTTCATACTTCTACCTTCACCTAATCACCTTGTCAATGCTTTGTGACAAGTAATTGTCTTGCGTTCTAATCACTCTGACTTGTCATCCTTGAGTTAGTTCGACACTCGGGGGTGTTGCAACCTTTGTTTGCACTACACTATCTCCATATTTCATCCCACTATCCAAAAACAATCACATAAAAAACCAAGCTAAGAGCTGATGAGTCCATTGAAAGGCACAAGGCCAGGCTTGTGGCCAAAGGATACACCCAAACACCAGGCTTAGACTACTTAGACACATTCAGTCTAGTGGCCAAAATAACTACCATCAGAATGCTGCTAGCTATTGCTGCTATCAAAGGCTGGACCCTCCACTAGTTGGATGTGAACAATGCATTCTTGCATGGTGACTTAAAGGAGGAAGTATTCACTCATCAAAAATCTGGTCAAGTATATAGGCTAATAAAGTCCTTATATGGCCTCAAACGAGCAAGTAGGCAGTGGAATGTAAAGTTGACTAATGAGCTGCTGAGTATGGGCTTTGAACAAACTGCTTCAGATTCTTCCTTGTTTATTAGAGGACAAGGAGATAGATTTGTAGCACTGCTGGTCTATGTTGATGATGTGGTGATAGCAAGCTCATATTTGAATCAAGTTCAGCAAATAAAAGGACATCTGGATAGTGTCTTTCAAATTAAGGATTTAGGTCCTCTAAGATTATTTTTTTTTTGGGTTAGAAGTTGCAAGAAACAGCAAAGGCATTTCCATGACTCAAAGAAAATATGCCTTAGAATTGCTTGAAGAAACAGACTTTCTAAGCTGCAAACCAGTCAAAACTCCTATGGTTACATCTATAAAATTCAGCAAGGACATTGGCAATAAGCTTGAGGATGCCAGCCAATTCAAAAAGCTTGTGGGAAAACTTCTATATTTAACAATCACAAGACCGGATATTAGCTATGAAATCCAACAACTCTCTCAGTTTCTAAACTGCCCTACTTGCATACACATGCAAGCAGCACACATGGTGTTAAGGTATGTCAAAGCATCCCCAGGCCAAGGTCTCTTCTTCTCAGCAACCTCCTCATTGCTGCTCAAAGGCTTTGCTAACTTTGGCTGGGATGCATGTCCAGACATTAGGCATTCTGTTACAGGGTTCTGCATGTTCCTTGGTACCTCATTGGTCTCCTGGAAATCCAAGAAACAAGTTACCATCTCTAGAAGCTCCTCCGAGGCGGAATATAGGGCTTTGGCCACAGCAGCATGTGAGATACAGTGGCTCTTCTATCTACTACAAGACCCGGGTATAACCGGGAGCCCTCCGGCAATGTTATATTGTGATAGAAAATCAACCATTGCTATAGCTGAGAATCCGGTCTTCCACAAAAGAACGAAGCACATCGAAATCGACTGCCACCTTGTGAGGGAAAAACTGAAAAAGGGAGTCCTGAAACTTCTTCATGTCTCTACCATTAATCAACTGGAAGATGTGTTTACAAAACCTCACTCTCCTAACTCCTTCTATGAGTTAATCTCCAAGCTTGATCTTCATTGCATGTATACTCCAGCTTGCGGGGGGTGTCAACGGATACACAGGCGAAGATAGTAGAATTAGTAGCCTCCTCCATAAATATCCATGAAACCACCTCTTGTAACAGAATTCTGTTAAGATCAGTTTGTAGCTTTAGATTTCCCGCTCTCACTCAGTAGAAATAGCTCTTGTATATGTGTAAACAGTTTTTTGTCAAACTCAATACGAATTCTTCTTCAGTTTTTCTGGAAACTCTTCTCTAAGTTTCCCAATATTTCAAAAAAAAAAAAAAAAAAAAAAAAAAAAAAAAAAAAAAAAAAAAGGAAAATGGAAATCAAGAATCGGTAATTTATTTATGGAAGCAAATAAAGTAATTATGTATAATGGGAAAATTCATTAGTAAAGATGAAGGATGCAAATAAATCATAATTTACACCAACTACGAGCCACAACATCTTTTTACATTAGAAAGAGCTATCTTATTTTTTAATATATGTAATTAAATACTGAATATAAATAAATAAATAAATAATGAATATAAACATCAGTATATTGTTTTTATTTTATTATTATTAAGTATGTTAATATTTACAATTTATTATATATGTTAATATTTAAGTAACATTGGTGAGTGTTTTTTTTTTAGTTAAATTGATTGATTTGATTTTTTGCATTGTGATGGTTTAATTTCAATATGTTAGAGATATAAATGCCCAAACCTTCTAGTGTAAATAAAATAACTCTTCAATTATTTTACAATAATTAAACAAATACAATTTACAAATAAAAGTGTGTACGTTTATCCCAATGTGAAGTCATTGAAAACATCAGTATAATATTTTTATTTTATTATTAAGAATGTTGTTATTTACAATTTATTATATATGTTAATATTTAAGTAACGTTACTTAACATAAGTAATATTCGTGCATCGCATGGGTACAATATTTGTTGACACTAAAATATAATACAACTCTGTTGTCACTGTTGTTTGTTCATGTAAAGTAAATTATTATTATTATTATTATTATTATTATTATTTATTTATTTATTGTACTTAATTATCAATCATATTCACTTCTCGTACACGTAGTGGCTTCTGCAAAGTGGATTGAAGATGAGCAATAATGCAACAACTATGGAAATGCCCTCCCCTCCCCTCCTAGCTTTGCTTGTTCATTCCAAAAAGATTAATTAGGCTCTCTTTTTATCCCTTTGTCCATTTTACATTTCAATTTTTGGTGGAGTGTAGGGGATCTTGTTTGAAGACAAACCTGATGGTAGATTTAATTTTAAGAAGGCATACGGACTACTTAATCTGATTGAACCTTATGGCTGATTTTTTTTTTTTTAATTTTTTGTTTTTTAGGTGGCAAGGATAACACGTAACCATTATTCAAAGGTGTGCAATAGATAAATCTCACCTTCTGACCCTAACTAGTAAAGGAGCACAATGAAGTAATACACTACAAAAATGGCCCTATATAGCGACGGAAATATATAGTCAAATGACAAAAATATATTATATTTTGGTAAAATCAATATGGAAATGCTTTTTACGAATTATATGGTTTCGTATTCCTACCTCAAACGAATTATTTAAATGTTTGGTTAGTTAAGGATTTAAAAAGAAATATATAGTCAAATGACAAAAATACCCTTATTCAAAATTAAACAACAAATAATATTTATTTGTATATAAAAAATTTAAATTACACTACTGGAAATTATGAAATTTCCGACCACCTGAAAGTGATCTTAAATCAAGTCGAAAGTCTTGTTCCGACCACTTTTGGTATCTGGAAAAACCTTTGTTGCTATTTCCGACCACTTTTTGGTATCAACTTGATTTAAGATCACTTTCTGGTGGTCGGAAATTTCATAATTTCCAGTAGTGTTAATATAAAATAAACACACGTTATGGCTCTGTTTGGCAGAGCTTATAGCTTATTTTAAGCTACTAATAAGCTATAAGCTCTGTTTGGTAATGTTTTCAAAACAAGCTCCAAGTTTAAAATAAGAGCTTATTTTAGAACGCTACCTTAGGGAGCATTTCAAAATAAGCTCCTAGCGTCCTAACTTTTTTTTTCCATCTTTATCCTTATTATTTTAAAGAAATGACATAATTTACCCTTCCCAATTATAACCATTTTCTCTTCTCCTTTATCCGCAACTTTCACTGCAAATATTATTATTATTATTATTATTATTATTATTATTATTATTATTATTATTATTATTATTATTATTATTATTATTATTATTATGAGATTTGCAACAATATTGCTACTTCATTATGAGATGCTAGATCATGATTATGATAATAGTTTTAGTAACACCCCCGATTTTACCACATTTTCAAAACTTAAATTCAAAGGAAAACATCTAATCATCAAGACATAAAGCAAGCGAAAGCTATATAAAATCGGTAAGTGTCATGCCACACCTATCTCAAACATAGGTGCACAGGCGGGAAAACTACTCAATTCAACAAAACATAAAGTATCTATGCACACAGGCCGCTAAACTAGGCTCACAGGCCAACAAAAGATAACGTCTACACAGGACAGCTAAACTATCTAGCGATCCACGTCTAGCGATCTCGGACATCTACTCAAAACATGTAGAACAAGGGGATAAACATGGGGATAACACCCGGTCAGCAAATATTGCTGGTAACCCATCAATACGCGTTAAATAACATATATAGATAAGTATAACCAAAACCATTTCGGAACGGAATACAGTATATACATCATTTCAATGCCAAGGAAAGAAGTCAACTTCAAAGACTCAATCAACACTCTCAAGAGAAATAGGAATCACCATCCTCACAACAACGACAATACAACAAACATGAAAGATGATACAACTCAGGATGCACTCTACTAACACAAAGTAGAATACATCACGACATGCTCATAAGCAAAGAATTCACATTCACACAATGGCAAGTACATGTCACAAGTTTCATAGTTCCAACCTTATGCCCTGTTCCAACCTTATGGCTACCCCCAGCCTTATTTCGGTTCCAACCTTTACCTCCTAGTGCCACCCTGTACTTCTGAGTCCAACCTTTTGCCTCCAGGGACCGTCGCCCCCCCCCCCCCCCCCCCCCCCCGCCGACACTCCTATTCACCACCGATCTCTCAGTACACGAGGGTACCATTAAATATCATATCACAAAACCGCCAATCTCGTGAGCAAAGCTCAAGTAACAAACCACCAATCTCAATCATAGTCACACAAGGTCATCATCATTACCAAGAAGACTAAGGCTCAGCAACAACCTTAATCAAGTATCAATCAAAGGGTACAACGATTTGCATACGTTCACATCATAGGAATCAATCAAGAGATCACAATAAAGACATGAGACCATACTCAACAATAAAGGATTCCAATCCAACAACAAATTAAATGATTGTCAACACAAGTTGGCAATCTCAATAGAAGGAACAAACCAACAGACACTAGCATATCAACATCAAACTAGCATGCTTATCAAACGGGTAAACCAAAATTAGTTCCAAAGAACATTCAAGACTCACATTAGTCCAACGAATCACAAAGTTGGACCCTTAGCAGGATTCAAGACACCAAATCCTACATGGATTCCTAACATACCATTCTAGACATATGAAACATCAAGAAGACTCACAAATAGCCCATTAAAACAACAACGGGAGGTCAAAACATCAATACCGAGTCAAAAGAATCACGGGGAACAAATCCCCGTTAACAACCAACAACGTTCCCCGCGGGTGGGGCCACGGGTGGACAACCACCCGCGGTTCCGCCCGCGAGTACATACACCCACGAACCATGTACCCCGCGGGTGGGGCGGCGGGTAGGGCCCTGCCCGCCGTTCCGCCCGCGGGTACACCCCTGTACACCAAAGTTATCCCTTCGGGGATTTTCAACAACAAGGCCAAGTTCAAGTCCAAAACACCCAAAACCTCACATACAACAACAATATGACTTGAACCCAAGAAATAGCCAAGCAATGACATTCAAGAACCCTAAGAACAAGCTCTAAACATGCATCGCCACAAGACAATGCATCAAATCTCACAAATCAACACAAGAATCACAAGTAGAAGCCAAGAATCATCATATAAGTAAGAAAATAGGTTTTGTAAAGCACAGGTTTCCTCTTAACACCCTTAAAAGCCTTTCCTAGAGCTCCTCTTCCACACCAACTTCATACACAGACCAAAAGACAACAAAGATCCTATCTTTTAGAAAATGACACCTAAAAGAAGGTTAAAAACATCAAAGGACCAAGGATCTTACCATTTCCTATGCTCAAGATGAAGAAAGTAGGAATCTTGGGAGAATATCTTGCAAGACTTGGATGCTCAAACTCTAGCTTGGAGAAGAAGCTAAGTCTTTTAGAGAGAGGCTAGAGTTTTTGTGTCTTGGGTTGAGGAGTGAATGAAATGAAAGAGCCTTACTAGGTTAGCTTGAATCAAAAACTTTAGGTAGAAAGACATTTCTACCCTTACTTATGTTGGAAAGACAAGGGAACAAGGGCACAATTCAAAAAGCACAAGGTACAACCCTTTGACTTAAGTGACTAGTCAAAATCTAGTCCCTCAACTATTCAATTTCAGGATTTTTAGGAATAAATTAGCAAAGAGACTTGGATTAATTCTTCAATTAATCCTTAATTAGTATTTGGATTTACGGGGTGTCACAGTTTTATTTCAAAATGTTAATTTTTTTAAAGACAAAATGTTAAATTTTAATATATAAACAAACTAATTTAAATTTTATGAAGATGTCTTATTTTGTCTTTTTACATTTATCAGCTTATCAAAAAGCTTATTTTACCGAACACTTTAAATCATAACAGCTAGCTTAACAGCTCTTCAGTTTTCAGCCCCGAGCTTATAGCTTTTCAGCTTTCAGCTCATTTTCAGCTTTCAGCTCCTAGCTTATAGCTTTTCAGCTAGGTTTGCCAAACAGAGCCATAAGGTAGTTGTGGTATTTAATACATTTAGCTATTATTGATGACAAAAATAGCTAATACTATGGGAGGCCGAGACCGTGGAAATGATTATTCTCATTAC